ATGACATTTCTTTGGATTGCAACTGAAGAGGGAACGCAAGTAAACCTTAATGTTTTTGGTGCAAGACATGGGTCAAATGGGTAGGAGTTACACTGTAGAGAAGAACAGACGTAGATTTTTTTTTGTTTTTATTTTGCATTGGTGAGGCAATGCAGAGTGACATATCCTGGTGAGTGGATATGGTGGTGACCATTTTGAATTTTGATGTGTCAACCCAATATTTGATAGTAACCTTTCTTATGCCTAGATGCAACCACACCAAAATGCAAGTCAGCACATTGCTTATTTTTGAAGTTATCCAGCTCATTGTGTTAACATACAGTGCATCCATAAAGTATTCACAACACTTCACTTTTTCCACATTTTATGTTACAGCCTTATTCCAAATTGTATTAAATTAATCTTTCATCAAAATTCTACACACAACACCCCTTTATGACAATGTGAAAAAAGATATTCGAGATTTTTGCTAATTTAATAACAATAGAAAACTGAGAAATCCCATTTAAGTAAGTATCCACAGCCTTTGCCATGAAGCTCCAAATTGAGCTCAGGTCCATCCTGTTTCCACTGATGATCCTTGAGATGTTTCTACAACTTAAATGGAGCCCACATGTGGTAAATTCAATTGATTGGACTTGATTTGGAAAGGCCCACACTGTCGGGTCCCATAGTTGACGGCGCATGTCAGAGCCCATACACAAAGCATACAGTCAAAGGAATTGTCTGTAGACCTCCAAGACAGGATTGTATTAAGGCACAAATCTGTGGAAAGATACAGAAAAATGTCTGCTGCCTTGAAGGTCCGAATGAGCACAGTGGCTTCCAGCAGTCGTAAATGGAAGAAGTTTGGAACCACCAGGACTCTTCCTAGAGCTGGCCGGCTGTTTAAACTGAGCAATCGGGGGAGAAGGGTCTTAGTCAAACTGCCCCACAGATTTTTTTTCTTCCATTTACCTTTATTTACACAGGTAGTCTCATTGAGCCATGAGAACTCATTTTCAAGAGAGACCTGTTTAAGGAGCAGATGGGGTTAAGGGCCTTGCTCATGGATCCAGAGTGGGGCAAATGAGGGTGGGAGCAGGTGTGGGTGCTTCACCTACCTCACCCACATTTTTGATGTTGTCGGTACCGGGGCTTGAGCTGGCGATCTTCCAATCACAGGCCCACCTTCTCTAACCTCTGCTCCACCACTCCCCCCCTGACCTGCAGAGTTTAATGTACCATATTTTTCGCCTTATAAGTTGCAGTTTTTTGCATAATTTACATGCCCTGCGACTTATAGGCCAAAGCGACATATTTATGGATATTTTCCCATATTTATAAACCAATTTTTGGCTGTGATATGACCGTTTCCATTCATTCTGACTGAAAAAAAAATTGAGCAGTACCACTTTCAGCCACTTGATGGCAGCAGAGTAGTAGTGGTAGTATGGCATGCCGTTGCATCATGTAATAGGAAAACGTGGCTATAATGACAAATTCAAAAAAGTTCAAGACAAAAACAACTGGACTTTATTTATTATATGTTATACTTTGTTTTTTTCTTGAACTTTTTTGAATTTATCATGTCCTAGGTGACTGAAAATCTTCACCAGCTATTAATGACACAATCCGCTTGCCTTTGTCCCCCCACCTTCGTTCTGCTCGCTGCTTGGAACCGTCAAACCAGCTGCACAGCCTTGGCAAAAAGCAGCTAATTTGACCATTAAAGTGCATTTACTAAGCAAACGTTAGACTGAGACAAACCTTTATTATAATTTCGAGCAAACAAATAATTGTGTTTAAGTGTTAATCTTGTTAAATTCTTGTTAAAGTCCTCACATGCACGCTCTTGCAGCCACCATTTGGCAGCCCATCGATTTTTGGCATAACACCAGCCCACATTTCCGGGTTGTCAGCGGTGACGCGAAATAAACGCGACGCGTCCGTGGTGATGCATAATAGATTAAATTTATACAGCAAGCGACATATTTATAGATTTTTCCACTTTATTAGACAAATATGGACTGATGAAACTTATGGGGCAGAGCGACGTGTACAGCGGAAAATACAGTAGCTCAGTGGGCATCCATCTCCACATGACACACTGACTTCACAAACATGGTTCATATGCATCAGACATCACAAGTAGGCCTTCAGTTCAAGATAATAGTGTTTTTGGAGATGGTTCGGTTGTTTTGGGAGACAATTAAGTTGCTTGTTCTCAGGGCAGAGGGGAAAAATGTTCTCATCCACAATAATAAAGCACAATAAAAACATTCAAAACCTTTGACTGAAAATTCTCTAACACTGACTTAAGATTTTCTTTCTTTTTATCTTTAGCTGGTGGGAACTAATAGCAGCCCACCGCAGTGATACTTTATCAGCAGAACACATAATTTTGACCGTGTAGGAAAAAGACGCATCATGTCTTCATTAAAGTCTTTTGAATGATGAAGATGTCCGTTTAGCAAAAGCTATGGGAGGTGTTGTGTAACTTCTCACTTTACATGTAAAAAAAACCCCACAATCAACTCTAAATGCACCAAACAACAACTGCAAGCGTCATGAGATGATCCTCTCAATCAGGTCAGCAGTCAGTAAAGTTTAGAATCCATGTTTAAAAAGTCCATTCTGTCTCATGAGGTAACTATGGCAACATTAAAATCAGACCAATAAAACGTGGCTTCGGATCGACACTCTGTTCTCTACAGCCAGCTGACACAACAGTGTGTTTTAACCAATGTTTAGCTTCCTGTTTTACTTCCTGAAATCAGTTTCCTTCTTTGTCCGTGTTGCTCTCTGGGAGAAAGAGCTTCTGTAATCAGATGGGCACGTCAGGTGACTCCGGTCTGATCTGCTTAATGCTATTAATGTGTTCAGCTTTACCGTCCTGCTGAGCCTCATTGCAGTGATGAAGGTAATCCGACTGATGGGCTCTCTTGTAAATGGTCTCTGGAGTCCTGCACCACCAGGACCAGGTGGTTCTGTAAAACCCACTCTGGCTGCCGTTTATGAACAATCTAGTTAGTCACCATTGGCTGAAATGGTTTAAAAAGTATTACTCTGAACTCTGAATTATTACTGATGAACATTTCATATCTAGGCTCTTCACTTCAATTTCCAACGTTTAATCGTACTATATCACCACTGGTCGAGATTTCAGCTACAGTATGTACACGATCCTGCTGGTGGTCTCATCATACAGCTAGTGCTGATGTTCTATCCTACAAGATCCTCCTCTAAACTCTCTTTGTTGAATGTAACTGGGACCCTGTGTACATAGTTTTGTTCCACCTCATGTACAACATGTGATGTGAATGACAAAAAAGAACCTTGAATCCTTGAATCCTAAACCATACTGCATTAATACACTCATCCAAACTATTAACCTCTGCCAAAGAGTTAGGTTCATCAGATCCATGGAGATCTAAGTTCCCTTACTCTTTTTCCCCCTCACATGCTACCTTCTCAATAACAGGCGGCAGTTGGCAATTTCGACACCTACTCAAGTGTCTGACGCCACAGCCGTTGAACCACTGGGCATCTGGCTGAGATCCGATAAGAGGTTTGAGGGCATCAGCTGCCAAGGTACTATACACAAACTGTTGTTGTATGTGGATGATTTACTCCTTTATACATCAAATCTAACTACATCACTCCCAGTGGCTCTACACATTTTAAAACAATATGGCCAACTCTTTGGCTATAAAATTAACCTTGGAAAGAACGAGTTATTTACAGTGAGGTTGGCGATTTGCCGATTTACAAAGCACCCTTTAAGAGAGAGGACAACTGTGTCATATATTTAGGTGTGACCATAACCATGTCTCTGTTCAATATACTCAATAAAAAATCTCCCCTTTCTTGGTAAAGTAGTGGAAGAGTTTGATAGATGGTCCATGCTACCTTTATCACTAGCTAGCAAGTGGAACCTCATTAAAATGAGGTATTGCCAGAGAAGATTCTTCTTCTTCTTTCGTTTTTTTCCCTCTTGAGGGGTTGTCATAGCGAGTCATCCTCCTCCATCTCGCTCTGTCTTGACTCCAACTATCTCCATGTCTTCTCTAACTGCATCCATATTTCTTTTATTTGGCCTTCCTCTTTGTCTTTTTCCTAGCAGCTGCATTTCTAACATCCTTCTACCAGTATACCCACTGCCCCTCCTCTGGACATGTCCAAACCATCTTAGTTTGGCGTCTCTAACTTTAGCTCCCAATTGTTCAACCTGTGCTGTACCTCTGATCCATCCTTGTTACTCCTAAGGAGAACCTCAACATTTTTATTTAAACCAATTCCAGTTCTTTCTCCTGTCTTTTTGTCAATGCCACTGTCTCCAGACCATACAACATAGCTGGTCTCACCACTGTCTTGTAAACGTTTCCTTTGACCTTTGTTGACATACTTTTGTCACAAATCACTACTGAAACTTTTCTCCATCCAGCCTGAATTCTCTTTAGCACCTCTTTACCACACTTCCCGTTCTCCTGGGCAGTTGACCTGCACCTTTGTGACCTCTGATCCATGTAGTCTCAAGGGCCCGGCATACTCCATCCGAAGCGCCAAAATGGGCTCTCATTGACGTAATTGCGTGACGAAAATTGGTTCGTTTTCTTTGTAGAGCAGCTTCGCAGAGTCGACAGTTCATCTTCGGGTGGAGTATGATGGGTCCTTTATTCATCTCATCCAAACCTTGATTGCACAATTCTCATAGGATCTTTGGTAAAATATTCAAACTTACACAAAAGTAAGTGATCATAAAGGTTTTCCTATATACCAACTAGAAAAACAGCCTCTACTGAAGATATTTTAAAATATATTCTTGATGCATCACGCTTCCTTCTGAAAATGTCTCTTCTGCAGAAAATAGAGCAATCACCAAACGTCCCATTTCATGCTACCGAAACCAGAAGAATGAGTTAACAATGAAATACTAGAATCATCATAGAATTTTATCTGACTGGAGTTTTCCGATCATACTTAGTCCAAGCGTCCTCAAGAGCAAAGGTCTGACTCACCTTGTTCCAGACGAAGGGACAAAGACCTCCTGGCGGCCTCAACCTCTGATTTGGGTCCATCCAGAACCTGCCGACACCACTGCAGAGGTGTGAGGGCATCGCTTGTGATCTCTTTGGCCTTGGATGTCACATATAACCTGGAAACAGAGATGACGAGACAAAAGACAAGACGAGACTGAAAATGAGAGAAATGTTTGATGGGTGATCATGTGACGTACATCACGTATCAAAACAACGGCACAAATTTGTCAAAATAACAACGATCAAAATGTCAAAAAGACAGTCCAATTTACGTTCACCAAAAAAAAAAAAAGTTTTCTCATTGTACAACAAAATAACTAAGAATTGAAGCACATGAAGGCAGTGGCAATGGAGATGGTACTCGACACGGGCGGGAAGGGGGGGCAGTGTTAGGATGCTTGAAAGAAGCGGAGCGTACTCTATTCACACAAGGTTATAAACACAAGTTTACTTATGTAGATGTTTAACAACGCGTTAAAATACACCAGGATGCAGGAATAGGCGTCACAACCATTATATGTGAAGGGAACTTGTCCACACCACATAAAAAAAACCCCGTTCATTTGGACCCCCCTCATTTACCATGAAACATTAGTTCAGTTGGCGCTGTTTCTATTACTTAAAGAACGTCATTCCACTTGATAAATAGGAGAATACTCAAACCACTAAAACTCCACTCCAGGTTTTCCAGGTTACCTACAACACTCCAGCAGCCTGCAGTGTTTCTCCTCTGCGTCTCCTGCGTTGGCAGGATGCACACAGGTGGAGGAGGTGGAGAATCTGTGTTGCCAACTTAGCAAGCTTAGTGCGGGCAGTTGTTGCCCAGTAGGGTTAGGATCATAGACATCTATACATGGTTAGGATGCTTTGAGAGAAGTGGAGCGCTACGTCTGTAGCATCTTAGCTTAGCATTAAGCTAAGTGTATGGCGCTGTAAGACGCTATGTGTTGAGGTGCATTAAAGTTGAAATGTCTTTAAAACCCACAGCTGAATTTACACAAACCTGGTGTGAAACATGCTTTCAATGTGTGGAATTAAAATAAGGAAATTAGGTGAAATGTTGCTGTTTTTGTGCAGTGTACACTTTTTTGGCACACTGGTGGTGTGTGCGTGCGCGTGCACACACTCCAAAAGTGTGTCTCCCCCCCACATTACAGATATTTCTGACGTCTAAGAGGAAATGGCATCTACTTTATTCAAAAGTTTCTGGGGGAGGACCCCCCTTTCCCCCAGCATTGTTTAGTTTACAAATTAAGCACTGAGTCTGGGTCAATACAACTTGGTGGTCAAGCCCCCTCTTGATCTGGTGCGGAGTGAGTTTGCAGCGTTCTTATTTGCAGTTATATTGGGGTGGGGGGTGGGGTTGTGTTTTAGGTATTTGCAGCATATTCTCTTTACGTTTCTTTCATTGATTGTGTGTTGTGTCGTCTATTTTCTGTTTAGCATAAGTTTTCTTTTGCTGCGTTTGTCAGTTGCATTTTTTTTTTTGCATTTGTGCGTTTCGGACTTAGCATCATTCGTGTGTTTGCACCTGTCAGCCACCGTAGTTTACATGTTGCTTTTGACTTGCAGTTGAAAGTTTGACAAGAAAGGAGAAACTGCTATATTAAGACTCCCCTTCCTCTTTTTTGATTTTTTAAAAACCTTTCCTGCTGCATGGCGGCACATTCAGCAAACAAAACAAGTCAAAGATCTGTACAAAGCACCAAAATCAATTTCGTCACATTCTCATGACTCTAGTTGCTGCTTTAGAAAAACTGAAAAAAATGCAAAGCTGCTCTAAGTTTTTCGGTCTCAGAAACGATCAGCGTATTCTGTTGTTAAAGGACACAGTCCTGACTTCATCTTTCCTCTGTGTCACCACCGTCTCTCCTTTTTGGTACAAGTATCTTGAAAAAGCTAGTGCTCTTCTCAGATGGAAGGGAATCGGATTATTCTGACAGCCCTGAACTCCCGCTCTTCGATTCTGCTCTGCAGGCTCCACAGCTTGGTCTGAATTATAGATTAAAACCTGCTGCAGACATCAGGAGTCTGACCTGAAGGTGGACGGGGCAACCACACAAACACACCAGCCTTAAAGTCTGAACATCTGAAAAGCCCCAGTCTGCATCCTGCAATAAGAACATGAATTATTGTGTGAATGTTTATGAAGCATTCACACGATTATGATCCATTTTTCTTCCGTACATTTCTCAGCATCTTTCTCGTTCCACAAATTTTGTGCTATTTTCAACAAATCATATTTCAAAACGCCAAAGTTCATGTTCATTAATCCAAGTATAATGCTCAGTCAGGTCATCTGGATGGTTTCTTTTGTTGCTGAGACATTTCGTCCTTCATCCGAAGGACTTATTCAATCTGAGAAGCCACCAAGCCAAACTGAATCCCACAAACAGCTCACTCCCAGAGTGGAAAAAAAAAGACAGTTGTCTAGTGATAAGATGGCTTCTGGGGCCCGCCCTCTCCCCCGTCAACTCCTCTAAGGCAGCCATGCCAACTGAGCTCATTTTCTATCCACCAAATCTTTAGATCTGTTTACAACCTTTTACTGCTCCTTTCACATTTTGTTCAGCTTCCTTGTGGAAATTGTAACTTTTTTCAGCTACTTTCAGCTAATTTTAGCTGGGGTTTTTTTTCAGATGTTTTGTGCTTGTTTCAGGATCTTTATGCTAACTACAACATTTGTGTGCTTCCTCTAACGTCTTTATGCAAATTTCAGCTGGGTATGCTCCTTTCAGCTTATTTCTGCGTTTCAGCTTTTTCTGCTATTTCAGCTACTATTTAGCTGTTTTTATGCAAATGTTATCCTTTTCAGCTTATTTTGTTTTGTTGCACTCATTTAAACTTATTTCAGCCTAATTCAGCAAAAATGTGCTCTCTCCACTTCCTTCTGGTAATTTAAGCTTCTTTCTGCTTTTTTTTAGCTACTTTTTTTAACTGATATTTGCTAATTTCTGCTTTTTTTCCAGATAATTTCCACTTGTTTGTGCTCATTTCAGCTTCTTTCAGCATAATTGGGCAAACATGTTCCTTCTGCTATATTCTGCAAATTTAAGCTTGATCTATCTTTTCAGCTAGATTTTTAGCATATTTTAGCTATTATTCAGCTATTTTCAGATACATTCAAGTTTTTCATGGTAAGTGCTGCTACTTTTAACCTAATTAAAATATTTCTGGTAATTTCAACTTGTTCTGCTCCTTTCAGCTTATTTATGCTAGTTTCAGTTATTTCAGCCACTATTTAGATGTTTTTATTCTAATATTAGCTTTTTCAGCTAATTCCACATTTTTTGCACTCATTTCAGCTTTTGTATTCTATCTGCTTTCTCCAGCTGATTTATGCTTGTTCTACATTTTCAGATACGTTTCAGCATTTTTTTTTTAGCTAATTTCAGCCGTTTTTCAGCAAGCTCTTCGGCTATAATCATTTACACTGCATTTTCGCAGGAAATGCAGTTTCTCTATAGCTTCTTCTTGTTTAAAAATAATTTTGGGCTTTTATTTCTAAGAAATTAAAGGCCTAGCATTCCTTGAAGGAGTGCATATCACCCACTGCTTTCCATGTAATGATGAGAAATTCAAACTTGTCCATTTTCTTTACCCACTAATTCCTTTCCAGATCACTGGTGCCCATACCCAGCAGTCACAGTGAGAGAAGCGGGACATGTCTCCAGTCCATCACAGGGACACAGACAAGACACATGACAAACAACCACTCACTCTCTCACTTAGGGACAATTTTAGAGTTAACATTTAGCCCAACAAGCTAACATTTCTATTATGTGGGAGGAAACCAGAGTACCCGGAGAAAAGCCATGCATGCACGGAGAGAACATGCAAACTTCACCTAGAAAGACCCCCGACCGGGATTTGGTCCAGCAGCCTTCATGCTGAGGCAGCAACTCTACCAACTGAGCCACCATTTTGGTCAATACTTAAAAATAATCACGTGTGGAAACTGTTAATGCTCTGAATAACTCTCAGCTACAGCCACTTTAAATTTTAGCTCAATAGCCGTAAAATTCACTGCGATGGTTGTCTTTGTTGTTTGTTGTGGTGGCCATCTTGAAATGGGTTGACTCCAAAGTAGTAGAAGTACACTCAATGATACTTTTGACAGTTTCTTTAAAATTCATCCAGTGGTTTAGGGCTGTATCACATACTGTTAATATATTGTGAGCTCAATATCACAAAGGACTGCTTGGACTGCGATACAAACTTGGCACAAAGAGTAAAGACGCTTGGGTTTGGTTGATTATTTCTTTGCTGTAACATTGCTTCTTGGCAATAAATCCTACAGTTTGACTGGAAAATGCATTTGTGGATTGAACAGCAAAGTTAATTGTGTTACGTCCATGAAAAACTTGCCAAATCTCTGCCAAACACTTATTTTGTTGATACGCCCTGTTCTGAGCTTCTGGTACAACCAGACACCTGATTATCAGGGTCTGCACTACAAAGCAACTTTACGCTGGTGTTCCACAAAACCAAGCTGGAGTGAGCTCTAGCATCATCTCCAAACTGAAAGCCAGGTTCTAACAGGGGATGTCAGAGACAAGCTGTGAAGTGGGTGAACCAAGAACATGACACCACACCGTCCTCACTGTTAGGAGTATGCAGTCTTCTACAGAGTATAAGTTGGGGACCGAGTGAAGCAAGGGAGGGCAGCCGACTTGGGACAAGAAAGTTGCGGTTCGACTCCTAGCCATTCCCACATATCGTGGGGTCTCTGAGCAAGACACCTAATCCCCAATTGTTTCCCGGGCGCTCAGTAGCTGCCCACTGTTCCAGCCAGGAGTGTCCAAGGTGCGATGGGTTAAATGCAGAGAACCAATTTCGTCATTGTATGGGAACATACAATAATGGCAACATACTTATATGTTGTACTTATAAGTTAAGGTTGACAGTACAATATGGTCGACACAGCCAATGTCCAGTCGCATTGAGCTGCCAGGAGGTCTGTATGTTCTTGTGTGCACTGGAACCTGATGATGTGGAGGAATTTTATGTTCAGCATTGGGGGAACCTAACAGGCTTTACATCAGTATCTTTATTGACAAGAAGCAAGAAATAATTCACCAAACACACAGTTTCTTACTACTGTACAGATACTTCTAAAAAAAATTAGCATATTGTGATAAAGGTCATTATTTTCCATAATGTCATGATAAAAATGAAACTTTCATATATTTCAGATTCATTGCACACCAACTGAAATATTTCAGGTCTTTAATTGTTTTAATACTGATGATTATGGCATACAGCTCATGAAAACCCAAAATGCCTGTCCCAAAAAATTAGCATATTTCATCCCACCAATGAAAGACAAGTGTTTTTAATACAAAAAACGCCAACCTTCAAATAATCATGTTCAGTTATGCACTCAATACTTGGTCGGGAATCTTTTTGCATGAATGACTGCTTCAATTGCGGCGTGGCATGGAGGCAATCAGCCTGTGGCACTGCTGAGGTGTTATGGAGGCCCAGGATGCTTCGATAGCGGCCTTAAGCTCATCCAGAGTGTTGGGTCTTGCGTCTCTCAACTTTCTCTTCACAATATCCCACAGGTTCTCTATGGGGTTCAGGTCAGGAGAGTTGGCAGGCCAATTGAGCACAGTAATACCATGGTCAGTAAACCATTTACCAGTGGTTTTGGCACTGTGAGCTGGAAAATGAAATCTTCATCTCCATAAAGCTTTTCAGCAGATGGAAGCATGAAGTGCTCCAAAATCTCCTGATAGCTAGCTGCATTGACCCTGCCCTTGATAAAACACAGTGCACCAACACCAGCAGCTGACATGGCACCCCAGACCATCACTGACTGTGGGTGCTTCACACTGGACTTCTGGCATTTTGGCATTTCCTTCTCCCCAGTCTTCCTCCAGACTCTGGCACCTTGATTTCTGAATGATATGCAAAATTTGCTTTCATCCGAAAAAAGTACTTTGGACCACTGAGCAACAGTCCAGTGCTGCTTCTCTGTAGCCCAGGTCAGGCGCTTCTGCCGCTGTTTCTGGTTCAAAAGTGGCTTGACCTGGGGAATACGGCACCTCTAGCCCATTTCCTGCACACGCCTGTGCACGGTGGCTCTGGATGTTTCTACTCCAGACTCAGTCCACTGCTTCCGCAGGTCCCCCAAGGTCTGGAATCAGCCCTTCTCCACAATCCTCCGCAGGGTCCGGTCAGCTCTTCTCGTTGTGCAGCGTTTTCTGCCACACCTTTCCCTTCCCACAGACTTCCCACTGAGGTGCCTTGATACAGCACTCTGGGAACAGCCTATTCGTTCAGCAATTTCTTTCTGTGTCTTACCCTCTTACTTGAGGGTGTCAATGATGGCCTTCCGGACAGCAGTCAGGTCGGCAGTCTTACCCATGATTGCGGTTTTGAGTAATGAACAAGGCTGGGAGTTTTTAAAAGCCTCAGGAATCTTTTGCAGGTGTTACGTCGTTGATTCAGATGGTTAGGTTAATAGCTTGTTTAGAGAACCTTTTCATGATATGCTAATTTTTTGGGACAGGCATTTTGGGTTTTCATGAGCTGTATGCCATAATCATCAGTATTAAAACAATTAAAGACCTGAAATATTTCAGTTGGTGTGCAATGAATCTGAAATATATGAAAGTTTCATTTTTATCATTACATTATGGAAAATAATGACCTTTATCACAACATGCTAATTTTTTGAGAAGGACCTGTATATGTCCATCCAGCCATCCCTTATATTTTACCCCCTTCTTTCTTTACGGGTCATGAGGGTCACTGGTGCTCATGTCCAACAGTCACTGTGCGAGAGGCGGTGGACACCATGGACAGGTCTCAAGTCCATCGCAGGGACACATAGAGACAAATGAGACAAACAACTATTCTCTCTCTCATTCACACCTAGGGACAATTCAGAGGTACCAATCAGCCTAACATGCATGTTTTTGGTCTGTGGGAGGAAACTAGAGTACCTGGAGAAAACCCACACATGCATGGAGAGAACTCTGCTCAGAAAGGCACCAGGCTGGGATTAAATCCAGCAGCAGCTCTACCAACTTTACCGCCCCCTTCTTACAGTATATGTGTGAAGCTTATTTCAAGTACAGAGCATCCATCTTCTGCATGCAAAATTGTTTTGGGTTAACCCAACAGACTCATTGCCATTGATGCCCACTCTTGTTTTAGAATTCAGGGGTTCCCAACCCTGGTCCTTGAAGAACACCTTCCTGCATGTTTTAGTAATTTCTCTGCTCCAACACACCTGATTCGATGGTTTATTTACTTCCTTAAGTTCAGCAGAAGTCTGTTAATCACCATTTCATTTAAATCAGATGTGTTGGAGCAGAGGAACAACTAAAACATGCAGGATGGTTGGTGTTCCTCAGGGACCACGGTTGGGAACCACTGTATTTAGACGACAGTAATGATGAAAACCTTATCGCCTACACGTCACCTTTCAATCGAGACTGTTAAAACTTTTCAAGCATGACAGCCCATATTTGATAGCATCAAGACTCTAATTAGGCAAAACCAACTAATTCTTGTGTTGAGCGCAGCCACCTTTGGGCTCAACTAGACCTGTCACGATAAACAATAAATCATTTAATCGCATGATAAATTAAAAAGTATCGACCTCATTTTCATTTATCGGCTTTATTGTTTCTTCGTGTTTCTCTCATTCTACTAAAGACACTAGTTGACTAAAGGCTCAACTTCGGTGCTCTTCACTGTCCCCTCCCTTTCTCTTTAAATCTGTTTTAACCGTCCATAATCGCGTTTTTGGATCGTTAAAAGCAGCTAAGCTGAGAAGCTAAGCTACGAGCTATGCTAACAGGCCGACCTCGGGGAATAAACCTTCATCTTGTCGAAGCTCCAAAATTCACGGTTGAAACCTGTGCCTTCGTCTGAAAAGTTGTTTGTCTCTGCAAAAAGAAGCTGAAAACTTGTTTACTGATTTTTAAATTTTTTTCTATTAAAAGCTTTGTGTGACAAATGCTATGCTAAAGAGCTAAAACCACATGGAGCATTTTTGAGAACCGAAAAACCGGAATGAAAGACAGCCCATGTCAAAAGGGGCCTCCCTCCCATTTATCTTAAAGAGACACGATGCTCACTCCCTCACCATCCATCCTTGGTTAAAAGTGTTATACTGCCATCCAGTGGTCAAAAAAAGGTACTACACTTAACAATTAGCCAACATTTCTTCTTAAATTTGACAATTACTAATTATTGCCAAATTTCAAACAATATTATCGTTTATCGCAATAATTTCTGAGACAATTAATCGCCCAGCAAAATTTGTTATCGTGACAGGCCTAGGCTCAACAACTCAACATAAACAAAATTCAGTTTTTTGCAATAGTTGCACTGATTTTGAAGTTAGTTACCCCAAAGTGATTTTTGTTTTCTCTTTCCGTAAATATGGACACTAAAACCAGGTCAGAGGAGTTATTCTAGAACTTTTTTCCTCCCCATGCTATAACAAAGATCTGCACTTGCCAGCATGCAAACGGCATTATTGCACATGAAGAGCAGCCTCTCCTTTAATTGCTGATGTTTTGTGAACAAATGGTTGGAATCTGGAGCCTGACTTCAAATATGAAGAAACAGAAACATTTGGAGGCTCCTGCATGACCTGAAAGCAACAAATGATGGGGTTTTAAAACAAAGGCTCCTCAGTTACCAGGTCTCATCAGATTCGTCTGAGCAGCTCAGAGAATCCAAGTCCAACAGCTCGAGCTCGTCCAGAACCGACGGTTCGGATGAGTCCTCCTCCTCCTCAGCACCAGCAGCTCCTTGAGGATGAAAATAGTCGAAAGGTTCCTCCGGAGGAGAAATTGAGCCCAGTAAGGACGAGTGACAAAGCAGGGTGGGCAGCGGGCTGGGGAGGCGGTACCCCCCGGGTGGAGGCAGGACGTGCCCGGCCCGGTTCCGCAGCTGCTCGTTCTGCCGCTCCAGTTTCCGGACCAGCTCCTGCAGCTTCTTCACCTCCAGCTCGGCGTTCAGGGTGTTGCTGTTGCAGTCCACCTCCGCCATGGCGGCGGGGTTCAGCACGGCTGCCTCCATGGCACCAGATTCTTGGATCAGGTTATGATGGGGGGGAGGGGGGCAGCGCCACCGTGCCACCAGCCGCGGTCGGTACCGGTGGTTTAGTCTGAAGGGTCCAGTAGACTGAGTCTTTTCGGGCTCCACCCCTCCACTGAACACACCCACACATCCCTGCCTCCCCCCTCCTCCCCGAACAAAGAGCTGATTACAGGTAAGGTGCACCTGTTAGTACCATCCGAACCGGACCTGTGCAGGATTTTAAAGCAGCAAACTAATTCAGAAGAAGTGCAGCATGCCGTTTGTTTCTAGTAAAAAAAAAAAAAATGCTTTCGAAAAGATTTACTTGTAAACAACTTATTTAAATCACGACTTAATTGCGACTGTGTAACAATTAGCCACCTGCTCATCATGATTAAATATTTGGCGACACCTGATGGTTGAAATAAGTTACTATACCTATATATATATATATATATATATATATATATATATATATACAGTATTTAAAATACTGTATATATATACACAATATTTAAAATACTGTATGTATGTATATAAACACTAAAGTATCAAGTTATGTTTCTGTAAGTTTTTTTTAGCTTCATACCGTCACCAAAAACTGAATAAAAGGCTTCGCTTTATATTTTTACCTTGTATTTGTTTCTTCGAAATAACGAATACATCTTTAATTATTAAGGCTAACAGCTTTAAGTTATTTTGTTTTGGCATTTTCAATCCATACATCCATGAAATTAATTGTTTGTGTTGCATTGTGGGTAATGCAGTGGGAAAAGTGAGGTGCTGTGCATACTTTGATGCATGTAGTGCACATCATTGCCATCAGCAACTCTTGGCAGGTATATTATGCCGTTGCGAAAACGCCTCTAGAATTAATTTGTCCAAGATAATACATCTCTCGTTGGTAAACTCACCCAAGGTTTACCGCCTCAGGTTTTGTTTTAGCAGTTCTTCATATCTTAGCCCAGGGGTCTGCAACTTCTGCGATAAAAAGAGCCCTTTTTGCCACTTCGCTTACTAATTACGACGCCCGCGAAACCTGCTACAACTGTGTAGTCAACTGGTGGCTCATGGACCTCTACAAGTTTGTTGGAGATGGCTTCCCCGGCCAGTGGGGTGATATATAATGAAAAATGTCCAATTATTTACATTTATTGATATATTTTTTTTACATTTTAATACAAAAAAGACCAGACTAATGTAAAGTTTTTTTTTTTAATTATAAAAATTAAAACAATCAACTCTGCAGGCTCTTAACTGTTGAAGAGTTATGGATCCTACTTAAACCATAAAGTTAAAGACAGTATGAAATTAGGCCAGTTTGTTGGATATCCAATTATATTTGTAAACAAACATACTTTTTACTTTGACTTCAGTTACTCACCACATTCCTTTTCAGCAGCTCGTCTTAAAATATATTCCAAAACATTTTGCTGGTTTCGAACGAAAGATCACGCTGTGAGACTGGAAGTTGACTTAAAGTGGCTAACAAGCTATAGCATGATGTTTTACGCCGTGTATTTGTACAGGAAATTTGCTGAAGTTTCAGTTTTGGTCAAAGTCTGACAGGGCCGCTGCAGAGGGACCAAAGAGCCACTTGTGGCCCCAGACCCACAGGTTGCAGAACTTAGAGCAAACTCTTAGCTGTCAAGTGTTGCAATGGAAATGTAGACACATGGTAATGTTTAAAGCACTGAAATAAAACATTTTAAATATGTAGTTTAACTTTTTTTTTTTTTAAATGACTCTATAAACTATAACAAGTATTAAATAAAGTACACATTTTTTAATACTTAACAGGCACAACTTTTTTTTGTGTGGTTAAAATATGTTTCACAACGACGCTTTTAATTTTATATAAATGGCCTAAATTCAAAACCAAGTTTGAATCTAGTCTAATTTGTTAGCAGGTAGCAAATGATTGATTTATATGAATTGATAATCATAATTATTTTTTATAAAACCAACAACACTTGCATTTTATCATAAAAACAAAATTTATTCACACATTTATAAACAATGCAATGTTGTTTTTTAATAGCACATCGCCATCTGGTGGCCGAGGCTGGTCATTGCAGCTTCTGGTTCATGAAACATAATTAAAATACACAGAAGAGGTTCGTCTGGTTTCAGAGAAACTTCAGCGTTTCTTCCAGGTGAACTTGCGTCGCGCTCCCTCCTGGCCCGGCTTCTTCCTTTCCCTCAAACGGGGGTCAACTGTCAACAAGCCAGCTAGGACAGGAGAACAAACAGCATGAGTTTTCACGTTTTCACTTTAACCGGGTACTTTTCAGTCTTTAGTGTTTGCAAAATACGTCATGATAAACTGGAAGAATTTTATTGAAACTCTCCAAGTGGAGCAATTGTTCATCCACAACTGATTAACGTTTGGAGTTACTGTACAGTAGTCCCTCGCTAGTTCGTGGTTCCACTTTTGCAGACTCGCTCTTTCGCTTTAAATGCTGGATGTCCGGTACCCGAGCGGTTGGCTTTCAGAAACTGTGGCCGCCTGAACAATTTTGTTGAATAGCCGTGGCCTACACTGTATCACCACTCAAAAGGACTACATTTCCCAGAAGCCAACAGTGCTTCCAGCCGTTGCTTTCTGCTGAAATGGAGGAAAAGTTTTTGATCCGATTCGAAAAAAGTTTGGTCCTTATTCGTGGTGACTTTGGCGCCCAGTGGATGCAGAGAGCCGTACGGAACCAACCAGGAATTGGACCAGAACCGGCCTTCCGGCTTCATCGGTCAATCTGAATGCTGCTTGCTGGCCCACGAGGCCTCTTAAGTGCTTCGAGGTCCGGTGTTTTTCTCCGGAGCTCACCGAGACTTTTTTCATCTGGATTTAGGAAATCTGCTGAAACCAGCCATTTTCATTGTTGGCAATAAATTAAATACATTTCAGTTGTATTTTAGTTTTGGTCAAAGTCTGACAGGGCCGCTGCAGAGGGACCAAAGAGCCACTTGTGGCCCCAGACCCGCAGGTTGCAGACCCCTGTCTTAGAGCAAACTCGTCGCTGTCAGATCTTATATTTCCCATATTTTCCAACAGAGAGCGCACTTTGCTCTCAGACTGCAGACTGAATATTAAACTTTATTTGCTGCTACAAGTCCCCCACCTTGTCTCATGTCCTCCGCCTCCCTCTCAGACACGAAGCTGAGCAGCGCCCGAGCGATGGCGAGCCGCAGCGCCCCCGCCTGGCTCGACCGGCCGCCGCCGCTCACAGTGCACTCGAGGTCGAAGCGGCCCAGCACGTTCACGAACTGCAGTGGGAACATCAGCTGCTCTCTGAGTGGGGGGGAGAGAAGAAGAAGAAAATGACCAGCAGATAACAAAACGGGAGACGAAAGAAGGAAACGTGGCTGAAAAGCCCCGAGCAGGAGAAAGGGGGGGGGGGGGGGGGGGGCTATTTAACAGATAGTGGTATCAACGACGGGAGCTTAGCTAATTTAATGTCTGGTTGGGTGACTTTTTCAGACAAGCACAGAGGATCCAAAGCGCTGTGAAAAGCTTTCTTTTTACAATCTCAGAGGAACTTCTGACTCAGCAGCGCTTCGAGAGTGTCCGTGTTCTGGATGGCGTCTCAGCCTGAATGGCCCGCGGCTGCTGACAAAGTCAATTGTCACCTCTCTGCTCCAATTACAGCCCGTCCTCACACGGCGTGACAACACCCGCTCCGGACACTCACACACAGTCACTCAGCTGTGTAATTAACTCACTACAAGGAGATAAATACAAAACGAGGCGATGCTGTGAAGAGTGAAAAAGCTGCTTTCTTTTCTGTTTTTTTTTTAAAGTGGAGGGGGGAGCGGAAACTAAAATGCCTCATGTCTTGCATTTTAAGAAAAATAATAATGGAATAAAACGCCCCGCAGCGTACACAGATACCTGTCTTGCAGCTCGTGGAAGTACTGCACGTACGCCTGGCCGTTGATGGTGACGCGCCCTGAACCGCAGTCTCGAAGAACGACCGATGACATGGACGTCTTCCTCTGCCCTGAAAGTGACCACACACACACACACACAAGTCATTTATAGAAACATTAGTTAAACCTGTCAAAAGGTAAATATTAAAGCTGATGCTCCTAAAACAACCAGAATGTTGGCAACACAGGGAAGACCGGAGCCACAGACATACAGCGGTCCCCAAGCCCGGAACTCCGGGAGTTTCCCAACAGGGACACCCGCACCCCCCAGAGAGAGAAGCAAAGGGAAGCCCCGGGCGACCCCCAGCACCCACAATGCAGAAACCCCAAGAGGCTGTAGCGACGAGTCCACAGGCCCCGCCGGCAACCTGCCCCTCCAGAGTAGATCCGGCCATGGACACCGAGTCCTGAGTTCATATCACCCCCCAACAGAGGCCCGACAGAGCCAGGGCACCCAGGCCCCGGCAGGCAGCCACGAGGGCGGGCCGGCACACACCCCACCACCCAGCCCCAGATGCTGAGAGCCGCCAACGCACCGGCGGCAGGGGGGACCACCACCAGAGGGGAGCACGACAGGGGGACGTAGACCCCACATTAACTGGGGGGCCCAAATTGATCCAAGAGAAGGGACTACCTACAACCCAACCCGAGACATAAACAGGCACACACAGACAGCCTGACAGAGCCTCTGTCGGGCCGTCAATGCGTCCCACCCTCCCGACAGCGACCGCAAGCCGGCAGCAGCTGAGGAAGGCTGGCCCAGCTCACCAAGGACCAGGCATCTCAAGAGCCCCACACCACAGGCCCAGAGAAGCCCCGGCACACCACCTACGCACCCCCAACACACACACCCCCCCCCCCCCCCCCCCCACCGCAAATGTCACACCAGGTCGACCAGCCAGTGCCCCATCAAAGCAAAGCCACATCCCCGACCGCCGCCCTACACCACCAACGGCCACACACACACAACCACAGCCGACCCCCCGGCCGGAACCCGACAGCCACCCCGGCCAAAGGGCCGGCCATCGCAACTAGGAACCTTGATCAAAAAATCTGAACAACCCAGGGAGAACCGGAGCACTGGCCCTGCTCCCAACCTCCCCCCTCAAGGCCCAAAGCCCACCCACAGCCCAGACCCCAACCAGGCGGCCTAACCCCCCTCCCTGACTTTTTAGTCATCGTTAAGAGGGGCAGAATAAAGATCCATCCAACAATTGTGAGCTGCTAAGAACATGTGACTGATGTCGCATTTTATAAAGAACAAATGACTGCACACAGTCAAGGGTCATACATCCAACTAATGAGAGATGGTTTTATTATAGAAAACATTTGCTGCATAAACACATAAACCTGCAATCCCAAATACAATGCTGCAAATTTAACATAATATAAGATATTTAATAAGTAACAACAACATTTGGGTTGAAGGCTCACTTTGGTAAACCTAGCTCCGTCCGTGTTTGATGTGAAAATGCCTACGTAGATTGTACTCTTTGACAATCACCACTGCCTCATAACACAAAAGACATACTGGTTTATCTCCTTGAAGCACTTCCCACCTTTCTTGAAACAGACTTCCATCTGCATCAATTTTTCTCTTCCTGGACATTTAGGATCATTGTTTGCATTTCTCAATTCCACTTGTTCGGAAAATGATATTGATGTGGAAAAGCTGCAAACTAGTGGTGAGATGCTGTTATTTTGCAGGTAGCGTAATGGGCATGCATTATGGGAAATGTAGTTTGTTGTCAGTGCACCCTATTGACTTATTTATTACATGATAATCAGACCTTTTAAGCTCTCGTTGGCCACATAAAATGACGTGGTGGGCCACATCTGGCCCGTGGGCCTGAAGTTTGACACATGTGGTCTAGAGAAAAAAAAATATCAGTATTGGTATCAGTTATTGGTAGGGATGGGGCCGATCTGATCTGGTATCGGGCTCCGATACCAGCATAATTTACGCATCAGATTTTTCTGATCCAACCTGCAGAGATTTCCGATCCATGATGCACGATGGCTTCAAACTATGGAATGGATTTCCTGAACGGAGGCGTGTCTCATGAAGCCCAGAGTAATAAGACCCGCCTCACATTCAGGAAATCCATTTCATAGTCTGCAGCCAGCTACAAAGAAGTATGGAAGAAGTGTGGAAGTATTTTACACTAGAAGCACCACAAAGCAAGACAGCAACCTGCAATGTCTGCAGAGCCATAGCACCACATTAAACAACGGTAAAGTTTGTTTTACGTTGGACATTCAAACTCCGGGACTTCAGCGGGGCGCTACTCTCGCTCAACCCGAAACAGGCAGCCCGACAACGGCCAGCCGCACCCAATCCGCTCCGCTCAGTCTGCCCGTCTCGGAGGAGGGGCAGACTGAGCGCGGTTGACCTAAATCAGACTGCTTGCTGCGGATTGAACAAGAAAAACACATCGCTGAAGCCCCGGAGCTTGAATGTTTACCGAGAAGTTGCTAAACTTCATCATAATAAATTACCAACTGCTATCAGTTGTAGAAAACTAAGGATTTCACAGCTTGATACTTGCAGCCAAGATATAGTTTACCCTCCAGGAGATATTTATCAGTACAACAGTAGACAATCATAAAAAGGCATATGAAATGAAAATAACAAGAAAATTACATATATAAAAAAAATAAAAACTAAACAAAAACAGCTACATTATAAAGTGATGTAAAATACTAAAAACAGGAACATGTCTGTTGGTTTACGCCATGAACTTAGCAGATGTTTAAACCCAAGTAATTTTTAATGTAATTTTTAAAATTTTATTCATTCATTTAAAAATTAAATAAACAAAACCATAAAAAAAAACATTTAATGAAAAGAGTGCAGAAAGAAGAAAAAAATTCTTATAGCTGACCCTTATTTAAAAAAAATATACAAAATACTGCCTTTATTTTATATAAATAAAAACCTTCCTCTTCTTTTTTAAGTTTTACCAACAACATTTTTTAAGGATATTTGTCACTTTTTAATTCCTGATGTTGTAACAGTTTTTAACAAATCATCTACAGGGGTAGTTCCCAAAATGTTTAAAACTGCTGCTGTTGAACCATTATTGATGAAACCCAAGCTAGATTGTAACGATCTTAACAACTTTAGGCCGATCTCTAAATTACCCTTTATTGTGAAAATTTTAGAGAAAGTGGTGTACTCTCAGATCTTAACTTATTTAAACAAAAACTCACTTTTTGAAAAGTTTCAGTCTGGCTTTCGTCAATATCACAGTACAGAAACCGCATTATTAAAAGTTGTGAATGATATTAGGATGAATTCAGATGCTGGCTGTTGTACTGTCTTAGTGCTCTTAGATCTTTCTGCTGCGTTTGATACAGTTGATCATAATATTCTATTGAGCCGACTAAATTATTGGCTAGGTGTTAGAGACATTGCTCTGAGGTGGTTCAAATCTTATCTTCATAACAGAACTTTTTCGGTAATTTCTGGCAATAATTCCTTCAGTTCAGCTTCTCTCACCTGTGGTGTCCCCCAAGGGTCTACTCTTGGGCCACTATTATTTTCTATTTATATGCTACCACTTGGTCAGGTTATTCATAAATTCAATGTTTCTTTTCATTTTTATGCAGACGATTCCCAGATTTATTTGGCTATTAACCCATCTGACCTCTCCACACTCAATAAACTTCATCTCTGCCTTACAGATATCAAAACCTGGATGTCTGATAATTTTCTTTCACGCAACGATAAAACTGAGGTGATGGTTTTTGGCTCCAAGGCCAAAAGGGATTTAGTAGTTCAGTCCCTCTCTGTTCTTGGTTTTACCTGCACTCGTGAAGCCCAAAATTTGAGGGTAACCTTTGTTTCTGATCTTGGTTTTTCTAAACATTTTAAGAACATCACTAAAACGGCATTTTTTTCAAATTAAGAATATTGCCAAAATCAGAGCATTTATTTCTTTAACTGATGCAGAAACTCTTATTCATGCTTTTGTCTCTTGTCAACTTGATTATTGTAACTCTTTATTTTTTGGTCGGCCCCAAAGTTCTCTGAATCGCCTTCAACTAGTACAAAACACTGCAGCTAGAGGTCTCACAAGATCCCATAAATATCAGCATATCACTCCAGTTCTGTCCTCATTGCATTGGCTCCCTGTGGTTTTTAGAATTAATTTTAAAATTTTATTGTTTGTTTTTAAATCCCTGAACGGTCTTGCGCCATCATGTCTATCTGAGCTTCTTACCCCCTACATCCCCCCTCTTGCAATCTCAGATCCTTAAATCTGTTACTCCCAGAGCTTGACTGGTGACAGAAGCAGGGAGGGCTTTTATGCTCAGGGCTCCTAATTTGTGGAATGCTCTTCCTTTAAATATTAAGACAGGCCTCTTCATTGTCTTCTTTTAAATCATTAGTTAAAACTTACTTGTTTAATAAGGCTTTTAATATTTGAATTGCTTTCTTTTTTATGTTGTTATTTTAATTGATTTGGTATACTTTTGTTTTTCTGATGTCATTTATGATGTTTTAATTGATTAATGTGAAGCACTTTGTAACATTTGTTTGAAAGGTGCTATACAAATAAAGTATTATTATTATTATAAATAACTTTAAACGGTCACTTAAATTAATCACTTTAATATCCACTTTAAAGCTAGGAATAAAAAAAAAAACGTGTTTTGTGTTAGCAGAATTTAATTATAACTTTATCCAACATTAATAAAAACTTACCTCAAGTTGCCTTTTTGGACATGCATGCATAGATTTGTACAAACTGTACTTGAGAGATTATTACAGCCTCATATAAAATCATGACGATGATGATATCGGAAAGGTATCGGCTAATATACAGATTTAGGCATCAGGATTGGAAGTAAAAAAATGGTAATTGGTGCATCCAATATCGTACATCCCTAAGGTATATATTTACTGGGCGTTACTTTTTTGTTTCACATTCAGATTAATACCTTCTTTTTTATCACCTAAAAGTGTGCAACAGTTGTTTTCCTAGTTTGTACTACTGCTCGTCTGATGTGTACCAACCTTCCGCGGTGCTGAAGACCACGCCATTGTTGTCCTTCTGCAGAGACGGCACAACTTTTTGTGTGGCCTGGGCTTCCAGTTGTTTACGGTACTGCATGATGAACTTCTCCTCCAGACTGCAGTATGGCAAGGACAACAGGCGCGTCATCAGCTGGATGAAACGGTCGTACTGATGGCAAAAGAACCCATAAGAATCAAATTGTGCTACTTTATTGTTTGCTAACTTCAGAGCAGAATAGGATGAAAACCCAGAAGGACTGTGCTCACACTTTGAGGAGTGATGTTCTCCAGCAGTTCCTGCTCCAGTTCATCTCTTGTGAGCCACCTGCTAGTTTCTAAGGCGCTGACAGAGACAGAAGAAACATTTTTCTCCATTGTCGAGTGGGAAAACTTCCTCCGTTATCCTTTTGAACTCTACTTACATTGTCTTGGTGTCGGTAGAGAAGAGTCCTTTGGTTCGAAGATGGTCTTGCTGCTTTTCAATGCCCAGTATTTTTCCATACGCCGTCTGAAAAAGCCAAACGTGGCAAAAACAATAAACAGAATTGTATGGTGGCCAAGATGGAGTAGGGGTACAGGCAGGGCAGCCAACTCGGAACCCAAAAGTCCCAGGTTCGATCCCCAGTCGTACATCTCGTGGTGTCTCTGAGCAGGACACCCTATCCCCTATTGCTCCCCTGGTGCTTTCAATAGCTACCCACTGCTACACCTTGGGGGTGGCTGGGTTAAATACAGAGCCAATTTCGCCATTGTATGGAAACATACAATGATGACAACACATACGCATTATTATTATGGTTTTGTAGAACTGGTTAGAAAATTTGTGGTAGTTGATGACAGCTAGTAAACGATATTAAATATTCTGCTCCGAGTTGGTTCAGGCACCTGAACTGTGTGTAAGTGACCTGAAGCGAAGCAAAAACGTGAAATTAAATAGATAACAGGCCAGTTTTGGGGGCTCGATCGGATTGAGCAGGACCTGAAAGGAGTCATGGCGTTAAGCACAGACACACAGACAAGAAGTGTGCATGTGTGTGTGTGTATTGAGCAGGGGGCATGCTGGTCATGTCCCTGAAGGCACACACCCCCATACCAGCCCCCTCAGCCACCCTGCGCTTGGGTGAGAACTCATTTCCCCGTCAATTATTCACCAGATGTTTGTTTAATTTCTTCTTGATAGAGTGTGCCTAATCCTCTGCCACTCTGACCGACGACAGAGGGGCGCAGGGAGGGAAGGAGGAGGGGGAGCAAACATCAAGCAAATACCAATTTTCTTTTAAAAAATGAGGGAGGGAGAGAAGGAAGGATGGGATAAAGGTTGGCAAACACCGGCTGCTACAATGACGAGGAGTAATTCGCATGAATCGGCTGGATGAAAGGATATATTTAGGTCAATGCTGTTCCAGAGAGCTAAAGATTCACTATTTTTAATAATCATTTTTAAGCACAAGAACACCTTCAAGTTTGAAGAAATCAGTGGAGCAGGAGGTCTGATTTACACATCGCTGCCCCCTCCTGGCTAAATCCCATAGACTACCAGGTAATGGCAGAAAGTCTTGGAATGAATAAAGGTGAAGTGTGAGCAGGAAAAAAGTCGATAGAAAGGACAAATATGTTGGTAAAAGAGGATGATTGAGTCTGCAATCACCCAGACGAGCTCCCAGACATGTCTGACACACCAGCAGGGGGTGCAGACTAGACTGTAGGGCAAAACCCGAGCGCAAGAGGCTGGGGTTAATATTCAGTTCCCATCCTGCCTTTGTGTTTTAGATACACACCTCTTTTCTCATCTTAATCTTTGTCGGAGAAACACAGAAACCAGAGTGCATCGAGGTGGTTTCCCTGAGATCCGCAACCCCCAATCACTAACAAACCTTCTCTGAAGCCACACTGCTTCCTCTAAAATCATCACAAAAGGAGTCACTGCAGTGGGACGAAGCCTGAAGAGTCAGAATTACCACACCTAATGTACAAAAAAAAAAATAAAGAAATTTTCTGCTGTATTAAAATATAAACAAGTTTAAAGTTTAATACAGATTGAGATTAGGTGGAATCTTTGCTCACTTTATCAAACATACTTAACATGTTTTTAAATTTCCCTTTCTGTGACAAATTCATTAATTTTTAATTAAGCGTACCCCAAAACATGCAAAATACACTAAAATGTGTGGCTAGATTATTAAGTGTGCTTTGACTTTCAGTAAGGGTACAATGTACACCATGGATAATATTTGCTAATAATTGCGAGAAATTTTCCCATCAACAACAAGACTTTGGCAAGAACATGTGAGAAAACCCAGCCCTCTTCGGAGCGCTACAGCTTGACCATTCTCTGTAATATAAAGCCTGTTCAGCCTGAATGACTAAATCTGGCATATTTACAATATTCATTCATTCATTCAACCTATAATATAAGCTTAATGTCTTCGTAACTGAATACAGCACATCATTGTGTCAATTTTCAATCTATAAACTAGAGCCTGACCAATATATCGGTAGGGCTGATAATTTAGCTCGATATAGACGTGTGGGTACTCAGTGTTTTCCCTACCATTATACAAGCGGGGTGCCCCACCCCGTCAACAGAACTGAGCACCCTGCCTACCAAACTGAACTTGCATCCACCAGCCCCCACCCGGCACTGACATAGCACTAAGCTAGCAACACGAAATACAGACTCTCTAGATATAAAGCTAAAGGCACCTCTTCCCTCATGCTGAACGCCTCTCACCCCTGCTCAAAAACTGTTGGTACAAGCTGCGCTCAGACATTTCTCTGCCCCCCCCCCCCCCACCCACCCATCAACAAAAATCATGGATGAGATGAGCACCCCGTCATGGCAAGTTAACTAGGGGAAACACTGGGTACCTATTGGTATTGGACATAAATGTCCCATTATGCATCAATATAAGCGCTTCTAATTTTCACCCCTAAAATGCTGTGAACCAGACATAATTGTACAATGTATCCAGCAGAAGGTGCATGAAGACTACTTTCAAGTCATGGCCGGTCACTTAAGTTTCACTTTCACAGTCTGCACAGCTGAAGCAGGGAGCAATACTGTGTAGCATATTTTGCTGAACAGAGCCTGGTAAGTTTATTTTAACTGGTCTGTAAAACAAATCAACAATAAATTCTCTTTAATCCTCCAACCCTCTTGTCATTAGCTACGTGCCTCTTAAGTTAGCAAGCTAATGTTTAGATAATCTAGCATAGGCTATTGACTTGTAAAACTTTATCCAGAACAATAAATCAAATGCGGTGTGAGTTTGGTTCGCATTGCCTGTAGTAAGTCGAACCCCTTCAGTGTGTGAGTTGGGACTCCTCCAGGGCTGCCAGTTGTCACCGATTCTGTTCATAATTTTTATGGACAGAATTTCTCGGTTCGGTCAGCGGGGGGAGGGTTTCCGGTTCGGTGGCCTCAGGATTCCATCTCTACTCTTTGCAGATGATGTGGTCCTGTTAGCAGAAAGGGGGAGGAGTTGAAAAGTTGGATAGCCAAAGGGAGGAAGGACTTCCTGTGGCATTCTGTGGAGCACATCGGTGGTCTCAGTCTACGACTGAAGGTGTTGTGGTAAGAGTCCAGGGTGTCATGCAGGGAGTGTGACAAGTTGATCAGGATCTAGAGCAGTTACCTCAGCATCCTCTGCTCAGACACCTCTGTCAGAGACTGCAGGTCCACTCCTAGAACTGAGCCAGCTCTCTTGATGAGTTTATCCAGTCTGTTGGCATCAGCTTTCTTCACCTTGGAGCCCCAGCACACCACAACGTAGAAGATGACACTGGAGACCACCGAGTGGTAAAACATATGCAGCGTGGTCCTGCAGACGTTAAAGGACCTGAGTCTCCTCAGAAGAAAAAGACGACTCTGCCCTTTCTTGTAAAGGGCGTTGGAGTTAGCTGTCCAGTCCAGTTTATTGTCTAGGTGAACTCCCAGGTACTTGTAGCAGTCCACAGTGTCCACCTTAGTACCCTTGACGTTGATAGAGTTGGGGGGCTGGTCGTCTTCCTGTAGTCCACCTGAAGCTCTTTAGTTTTTCCAAAGTTGAGTTGCAGGTGGTTCTGTCCACACCACTACACAAAGCTGTCCACCACACCTCTGTATTCAGTGTTAGTAACATTATCTTTGCCCTCCTCAATGAAATGCATCGTTTGTCTGAAATCATTACTTCTCTGCAAAGAAAAGAAAACCTTGCTCCAGTCAATACTAATCAGACCTTCACCAACGAACACGTTAGGAAGACTGTTTTATGACCAGTGCACCACTTGTAAAACTATTGTGGGTCTAAGTACAGCATGAATCTGATTTGCTTAGCTTTATGGTTGCAAACAACTGCGCTAAATAATCAAAACCAGTTCCATTTGCTGTTTTCTTAGATTCTTGGTTGTTGAAAAAAGCTAAAAAAAATTCAGCCATTATATTGGTTATTAGCGGTTGCCTTTCCCTCCCAATATTGGTATTGGCAATAGCCAAAATTTCCATATTGGTTGGGCTCTAATATAAACCTCAATCTTAGAAGATTTAAGAGGACAAAAACATTTGTATGTTAAGTAACGGTTACATAATTGTATATTTTGGGATGAAAAGATGAAATTCACTCAAGATGGTTGTAATGGTACATGTACTGGTTTAAATCTTATCTCTCTAGTCGCAGTCTTTCCATTCTCAGTCTTCCCCAGTCTCTACTGGTGTGACACAAGGTTCTGTCCTCGAGCCCCTCCTTTTTATTACTTTCCTTCTTCCTGTCATATCTTCCGTAAATTTGGTATCCACTTTCATTGTTAATACAGATGACACCCAGCTCTACTTATCTTCCAGACAATTCTACACTCCCACTCTCCAATGTTACTGCTCGTCTCAGTGAGCTCAATTGCTGTTTTTTTTTTTTTTTTTAATTATCAATGTTCTCCAACTAAACAGTGATAACAGAACTCATCCTTGTTGGTACCAGAAACACTTTCCAAATTTGAACGTCTTCTCCTCCCACTTAATTCTCTGCTTTCCCCCTCCCCTTAGGTCAAGAGTCTGGGTGTCGTCCTCGACAGCGCACTTTCCTCTACGTTCCACATTAATAATGCCACTCAATCTGCCTTTTTTCACCTTCAAAACATTAACTGTCTCTGTCCTCTCACCCTTAATTCCATATTCCTTGTCAACAGCCATGTAACATCCCACATTGATTATTGTAATTCCTTTCTTTTTGGCCTCTCCAATAAACCCCTTCACAAGCTACAGATGGTTCAGAACTCTGCTGCCTGTGTCATCACCCAAACCCCCTCCAATAATCATATCACTCACGTCCTGTGGCAGCTTCACTGGCTCCTGGTCAAACCTCGAATCATCTTCAAAATTCTTCTTTACACTTAAAGCTATCCACAATCTCACCCCTTCATATTTATCTGACCTTCTGCTTATCTCCTGCTCCCTTAGATCTGCCTCCACTTCTCTGTACCATCTGCCCACTTCACTATCATGAGGAGGATGGTATTCAGTCTCTCTGCTACTCAAATCAGGAACTCACTACCCTTCGACCTATGAAACATCACCTCTGGTCTGAAAACCCATCTCTGTAGATTAGCCTATCCTTCGTAATTTACTCATGTGCACTTTCTATTTCAATGTTTGATTTTATTGTACAACATTTTTGTTATTTAATTTTTTTCCTGCTGTATGAGGTTTTTTTTCTGTACAGTGTTGAATGTTCTGAAAAACACTTTTTAAATATAATGTATTAGTATGTACAGTGTTTCCCCTACATTATTTGTTGGCAGGGCACTCATCTCTTCCGTGATTTTTGTTGACGTGGAGGTGGGGGTGTGTACACTGGGACACGTCTGTGTTGCGCGTTGTTTGTACCGAAAGTTTTTCGAGGGGGTGGGGGTGGAGACACAGCTCAGCGTGAGGGAAAAGGAGAAAACTTAAACTTTTTTCAGCTACTTTCAGCTAATGTCCGCCATTTTGTGCTCCTTACAAGTTCCTTCTGCTAACAAAAAACATTTTGTGCTTCTTTTAACACCTTTCTTCTAATTTCAGCTTGTTACGCTCATTTCAGCTTATTTCTACAAGTTTCAGCTTTTACTGCCATTTCACCTACTATTTAGCAGCTTTATGCTAATTTTTTTTTCAGCTAATGCCACATTTTTTGACTCATTTAAACTTTTTTAGTTTGATTCAGCAAAACAGGGCTTTCTCCACTTCATTCTAGAAATTTAAGCTTCTTTCTGCATTTTTAGCTACTTTACAGCTGTTTTTTTTGTTGTTGCTAATTTCTGCTTTTTTCAGATAATTTTCACATTTTTGTGTTCAGTTTTGCTTTGGCAAACATGATCTTTCTGCTTTCTTCTGCTAATTTCAGCTTGATCTACCTGTTCAGCTAGATTTTAGCATTGTTTAAGCTAATTTCAACTGTTTTCAGAAAAATTCAAATTTTTCATGGTTATTTCTTCTACTTTCAGCCTAATTACCGTAACGTCTTTCTGCTAATTTCAGCTTATGCTCCTTTCAGCCTATTTCTGCAAGTTTAAGCTTTTTAAAACTATTAACTGTTTTTACCTATTTTTAACTTTTCCAGTCAATTTCACATTTTCAGCTCTTTTTCAGTTAGCTCTTTTTCGCTTTTTCAGCTCTATCCATTTCCATTCGACAGTTAAGCTTCTTTCTGCTGTTTCAGCTATTTTTGCTAATTTCAGCTTTTTAGCTGATTTCCCAGATTTTATGCTCATTTCTGCTTATTTAAACATAATTCTGCAAACATGTGTTCTTTCTACTTTCTTCTGCTATTTAGGCTTGCTCTTCTATTTCAGCTAAATTTTAGCTGTTTTTTTTTAAATAGCTAATTTCAACTGCTTTTCAGCAAGTTCTTCTACAATAAGAATTTACATTGATTTTTTTCTGCAGGAAATGCATTTTTTCTAATTAGCAACTGATTTACATACACTGTTACAGATCTACTGAAAAGCCACATTTACCAGCACATAACTAAATAATTTCAATGAGAATTTCTCAAATGTGCGTTGAAGCAAAATTAAAAATAAAGCATTGTACAAAAAAAAAGGCCAGATATTTCTTTCCAAATAAATTAAGGATAAAGGACAAAAAAAATAAAATAGCTGAAAAGTAGCTGAAAATGTAGAAAAAAGCTTAAACTACAAGGAGGAAATGGAAGGAGCTGAAAAGAGCTCCAAAAATGTGGTATTAGCTGAAAAAAACAAATTTAGCACAAAACGGCAAAAAAACAAAAAAACAAAACCTAAAACAGCAGAAAAAGCTGAAACAAATTTAAAAAAGCTGAAAGGAGCATAAGCTGAAAGTAGCAGAAATATTTACCAGTAATTTGGGTGAAAGTAGCAGAGATTACCATAAAAAACTTGATGAGCACAAAAAGTGAAAATTATCTGAAAAAGGCTGAAATTAGCACACAACAAAACCCAGCTGAAAAGTAGCTAAAAACGCAGAAAGAAGCTGAAATTACTAGAAGGAAGTGGAGAGAGCAAATTTTTTGCTGAATTAGGCTGAAATAAGTTTAAATGAATGCAAAAAATGTGGAATTAGCTGAAAAAGCTTAAATTACAAGCACAAAAATGTTGTAGTTAGTGAATCGAATCTGAAAGGAGAACAAAACAGCTGAAAAACCAACTGAAATTAGCTGAAATAAGCTAAAACGATTAAATTTGCACAAGATAGCTGAAAGAAGCTGAAGCAGAACAAAATGTGAAAGGAGCAGTAAAAGGTTGTAAACAGATCTAAAGATTTGAAGGATGTAAAACAAGCTCAATTCATTTTCTATGAGGGAAAAAAAGTGGCAGAAAAGGCTAAATATTTCAAAAAGCTAAAGTTGCACCAATACCAAAAGTCATAGCAGAATTGTCCTGAAAGAGCTGAACGTTTTGATTTATGATTTGTTGAAATAGCAGCCTTGAAAACTGTGGGACAAGAAACGCAGCGAAAACCGTACAGAAAAAAAAACGTATCGCAACAGTGTGAATGCTTTTTAAACATTCGGACAATTAAATACAATAAGCAAAAGTTGCAGGCGAGGGTTCACCTGTTGGCTGTACTCACGTGCATGAGGGAGTAGTACAACGGCCTGCCGGTGTAAAACAGGAAGTGGAAAGGTCGCTTGTCTTCTCCCCACTGTATAGCTTTATGATTACAGAACAAAATTAGCTGCGGGCTTCACATTCAGAAACGCAAAAAGGCCTTCGTCACATACCTTTCTGCTTGGGAAAGATTTGATCAGGATGCTGGGGACAAACACAGATGTCAGTTTAAACAACTTCTGCACTGACGGTTTTAAAAGTATTCATAGATACTTTTTAGAGAAATCTCTTGAGTAGAAGACAAGTAACTTAGCAAGAATAGAAATACCTTCTAAAGTATGAAGTTGTGGCTTAAGTTTACCACCAGACAATTTAAAAAGTTTATAAGAAGTCAAGAGTCTCACCTTCATGACTGGATGAGCCTCCTTAACAAACAGGCCGGACGGGAAGAGGTACTCGATGCTTTTCTACAGGGGAGAAACAAGAAATATAAATAAATAACTAGAGAAATTGCATTTCTCGCAAAAATGCAGTGTGAATGCCTATTGCAGAAGAACTTGCTGAAAAACAGCTGAAATTAGCTAAAAGAAACATGACAAAATGGAAAAACAAACCTAAGTTAGTAGAAGAAAGCATAAATAACATACATTTGCTGAATAAAGTTTAAATGGGCAGAAATTAACACAAAATTTAGGAAATCAGCTAAAAAGTTAAATCAGCTAAAATTAGCTAATGAGTAAAAAAACAGTGTAGATAAAAAGGCAGAAAGAGCTGAAATGTGCTAAAAAATGTGGAATTTGCTGAAAACGCTAAAATTTGCATAAAAATAGTTGAATAGTAGCTGAAATAGCAGAAAAGCTGCAATTAGCTGAAAAAAGCTGAAAGGGGCATAACGAGCTGAAATTTTCATTCAACCTTAATGTAGACAGATAAATCACATGGAGCCTCTAAGACTCATTTACAAGTGAGATCTGCTTAGACAGACAAAATGAGCAGAAAGAAGTTAATCTGGCTGAAAGTAGCAGGGATTACCAAGAAAAACTTGAATTTATTTGAAAACAGCTAAAATTTGCTAAAAATGCTAAAAAAAAAAAAAGGTAGCTGAACATGTAGAACAAGCTTAAATTAGCCAATGAAAACAGAAAGAAGACAAGTTTTCTCAAAAAGCTGAAAATAGCTGAAAAAAGCTGAAAGGAGCATAAGAAGATGAAATGAGCAGAAATAAGTTAATTCAGCTGAAAGTAACAGGAATTACCAAGAAAAACTTGCATTTATTCGAAAACGGCTAAAATTAACTAAAAATGCTAAAAAGGTAGCTGAAAATGTAGAACGAGCCTAATATAGCAGAAGAAAACGGAAACAAGTTGTTTCAATTTGGCTGAAAGAAGCAGAAATGAACAAAAAAAAGTGGAAATTAACAACAACAACAGCTGAAAATTAGCTTAAAAAGAAGAAAAAAGCTTAAGTTATGAGAAGGAAGTGAAGAGAGCCCAGTTTTGACGAAAGGCTGCTAAAAGTTTAAACGAGTGCAAAAAATGTGAAATTAGCTGATAAAGCTGAAATATGCATAAAACAGCTAAATAGTAACCGAGATAGCAGAAAAAGCTGAAACTTGCAGAAATAAGCAGAAAGGTACAAGAAGCACAAAAATGTAGTTAGCAGAAAGATTCTGAAAGGAGAACAAAACAGTTGAAAAAAAAAAAACAGCTGAAATGAGCTGAAAGTAGCTGAAAAAAAAAAGATACATTTGCACAAGGAAGCTGAAAGAAGCTGAAGCAGAACAAAATATGAAAGGAGCAGTAAAAGGTTGTAAACAGATCTAAAGATTTGAAGGAGGTAAAACGAGCTCAATTCATTTTGTATGAGAGAAAAATGGCAGAAAAGGCTAAATATTTCAAAAAGCAAAAGTTGCACCAATACCAAAAGTCATAGCAGGCTTGTCCTGAAAGAGCCGAATATTCTGATATGATTTGTTGAAATAGCTTGAAAACTGCAGGAAGAGAAACACGCTGAAAAATGTACGGAAGAAAAAATGGATCACAAAAGTGTGAAAGCTTCATAAACATTCACAGAATAAATAAATACTAAAACCGAGTTGGCAGTTTGAGATTTCACGACAATGTGTCCAAACGACTCGGGTCACACTGGAGGACGGCGCTGACAGTGACGGGGACGAGGCGCAAGCTGCTCGCGGGTTCGAGGGAAGGCGGGTGAGACGCTCGTGTTGCCGTGACGTTAGAGGGGACAAAGAAGCAGGAAAAGACACAAGTTTCTGGCGTTGTTGACAGCGAGCGGAGGACAGCGTGGACGTCCAACAGTTCACTCCGAGTTCATCCCCCTCACTGTGTGTGTGTGTTAGCAGGGCTACAGATGGCCCTGCAAATGAGTGTGTGAGAAGAGAAGTGTGTTGGCCCCCGCCACACTCGTCCTGACAGCCTGTTCATCCCTCTTTTCCTCGTCCCCTTTTTATTCCTCCTCCTCTGTCGGCTCAATTAGTGAGGCAGCAGGTGCAGCTCGCAGGAAGCAGGTTGCTGCCTTTAAGGTTGTCAAAACGACGGAAAGCAGGAAGAAAAAGAGCTCGGTTGAGGGGGGAGAAAAAAAAAGTAATTGTGACTGTGTGGGAGACTGGAGGAGGAAGGAGTGAGTAGAAGTTAAAGGGTGAATTTCAAAAAAGGGCAAAGTGGAAAACAGACGAACGCCTGTTTGTCTCGAGAGAGAGCAGAGACAATATGGGAGGTCCCACAGGAGCAAAGATGGAGCGACAGAGGAGGAAAGAAGGAGAACTGAGCAGAGAGAAGCTCAGCTGCGTCAGGAAATAATCGAACGTGATGGAAGATGTGGCTAAAAAGACTTTTACACTCGCCCAGTTACAGTAGACCCTCACCACTTCGCGGTTTGACTTTAGCGGACTCGCTCTATCGCAGTTTTGTGGACGTTCAGTCCATAATATTGTACCGAAAGTCAAATTATACAGGACACATGATTGTCATCTTTAATATTACTCACGTGATTGGGACAGTACTGTACTGTAAAACGTTTAAAAAAAAACTTCGGACAGGCACCGCCATTTTATACTCTCAGTAAGCCTCCACTATATTCCCGCTCATAACGACCACATTTCCCAGAAGGCAACAGGGCCCAATCCAGAAGCCCCGTTTCGTTCTGCTGAAAAAAACCAGAGGTAAAGTTTTGATCTGACTGGCGCCCAGCGGATGCAGAGAAGGCACGCTGAACCCACAGAACTGGACCAGAACCGGAGCAGAACCAGACCTCCAGACTAGAGTTGCATTTGGGTCCAAAAAAAAATCAGATCCGACACGGCCCCAGTCCGTTCGAACCACAACCGACCCGATGAATTAACAGTAATTACAGGCCTGAACCCCCCCCCCCCCCACCATTTTTAATTAAGGTTTGACTGCTTACAGTTATTAAGGGTCGGTGGACGTGCGGGACAGCGGTAAAGTTAGTTTTACGTTGGATGTTGGACATTTGAGCTCCGTGGCTTCAGAGGTGTGTTCCTCTCATTCGAGTTTGGCTGACCGAAATCAGACCGCCTGCATCGGATCGAACAAGAGGAAAACACCACTGAAGCCACAGAGCTCGAATGTCCAACGTAAAACTAACTTTACCGCGGTGACACGTGGCTGAATGAAAGGGACAGAAGATCGGAGCTGAGGGGGTGTTTGTCCTTTCATGGCCGTCAAAGAGCAATAAAGCCCCGTTTCTGCCTGCATTCTGACAAGAACCCTGATCTGACATGTCTGCTTTGGGATCTCACCTGTTTGGGTCATCGGCTGCATGCGTCCGCTGAGTGCAGCGACTCAACGTCCATTTGGGCGATGGATCGCTTCCTGGCAGTAGCCTACCGGTAGGCCATCTGAAGCTTAACTGAACATTATTTTACCTCTTTCAAGGCTGGTCAGCTCGTGGTGAAATGGCTGTATGCGGCCGGTGAATGTATAGTAAACCATGTTGCCATATAATTGGATTTTATGGCAAGCCATGTTGCCATATAATTGGATCGCAGCTGATCCGCTAATGCAATCAAAAGCCTGACACTAACCCAGCCCGCTCATCCAGCACATTATTATGGCCCGATCCGGCCTGAATGTGGGTCGGGTTGGGCTTCGGGCCCTGGTTAAAAATGACAGCTCTACTCCAGACCCATTGGGGAATCTTGAGACCTGGTAGCCAGCCACGAGGACTTCCAAGCGCAGACGTGTTCCGAAGGTCCGGAGCCGTTTCCGTAGCCCATCAGGAATTTTTTCATCCAGATTTGGACTCGATTCTAAACCAATTCATAAAAAGTTGTAAACAGATCTAAAGACCTGAAAGATGTTAAATGAGCTCAATTCATTTTCTATGAGGAAAAAATGTCAGAAAAGGCTAAATATTTCAAAAAGGCAAAGTTGCACCAAAAGTCATAATAGGATTGTCCTGAAGGAGCTGAACGTTTTGATAGATGATTTGTTGAAATAGCTTCAAAACCGAGGGATGAGAACGGCACCGAAAAACGTACAGAAGAAAAATGGGTCACAATTGTGTGAATGCTTCATAAACATTCACACTAGGGATGGCGCCAATCCAATCCAGTACCGGTAATGGGTTCCGATACCAGCATAATCCACGCATCTGAATTTTCCGATCCAACCTGCAGAGCTTTCCGATCCATGATACAATGTCCATGTCTGCTGAAATGACTCCTCATGTGATTCCCTGCTGGCTGCTCTGCAAGTTGGCTTCAAACTGTGGAATGGATTTCCTGAACAGAGGTGTGTCTCATGAAACCCAGAGTAATAAGACCCAACTCACTTTCAGGAAATCCATTTCATAGTTTGCAGCCAGCTTAAAAGTGAGCATTGAGGACTGAGCAGCACTGTTGCTAACCAACTTTTCATAGCAACATGTCCGCTGTGTGGAAGTATTTTACACTAGAAACACTGCAAAACAAGACAGCAACGTGCAATGTTTGCAAAGCCGCTGTACCGAGAGGGGGAAGCTTCATCGCGACCTACAATACAACAAACGTAAACATTTGAAAAAGCACCACATTAAAGAGCACAAGGATTGTTTAGCCAGGTGGGAGAAAGATGAAAGGAGCCGGCAGAAATCGCTTCTGGAGTCATTCCAAAAGTAAGGTAAACTTCCTCTGGACAACGTGAAAGCTAAAGGGATTACCGAGAAGTTGCTGAACTTCATTGTACTTGATGACCAACCGCTATCAGTTGTAGAAAACAAAAGGATTTCGCAGCTTGATTGAATACTTGCAGCCAAGATATAGCTTAACCTCCTAACCTTACCTTATACTTACTTGCCTGTAGAAGAGTTTATTACAGCCTCATATAAAACCAATAACGATGATGATATCGGAACGGTATCGCAATAGTATATGTATCGACAGATATTCAGATTTAGACATCTAGATTGGATCGGAAGTAGAAAAAATGTGGATCGGTGCATCCCTAAT